TAGCGCATTTTTGAAAAAATACGCTATTAGGTATATTCGTTATGGCTGGCCGGCCGGCTGTCCGCGTGAGATCTCGGGAACTACAATAGCTAGAGACGTCAAATTTTCACTAAAAGCTTTCTGCTATAGTGCAGATGTGCACGCACTAGTCTATTTTTAGTTAGATTATTTGTGAGATCGATAATTGAAGAAAATAATTTCGATATGGTTTTCGGAGGTGCTATAATTTTACCGTTAGATAGCGCTACCAATATAAAAACTTATTATTTACTTTGTGATTTGTTTTACAAGATTAAAGACGTACCCTCAATTGAAATTAAATAAAATTAATTATTTAACGCAGCCAAAATTACTCGTGAGATCGATAATTTTAAACTTCGCTAATTAAATACCTACTGACCTGCATTACCAAAAATGCGCTTTAATCATGCATATACTGATTTACAACTTGTTTATTGTGTCTTTTTATTGTTGCAACCTCGGTTACAACTTCTCCGAAGACTTACCTTATTGACTTTCGACGGAATGCATTTTAGCTTTACAAATGACTGTCACTTATCTTGTAATATTTGCTCAAATGATGAACGTCAAACTAATTAAATAAGTGTGTGATTGATAATTTAGATCTTGGATTATTACTAAAGCTTTAGATCATCGCATTTTGAGTTTTGCCAATCTCAAGTATAATGTTTAAACATTGGAAGCACTGGAACTACTTTGACCTGTTGAACTCGCAAAAGTAAAACAAAGACACATCAATAAACCACAGTTGTCCAAACATGCTTGGTTACCAATGAAATGAAAGACTAAGGAAGAAGGGTTACATACATACAGTGATATTCATGTAGAAGTATACATAGGAATTTCCTATGTCTACTTTTACATGATAAAAAATCTCCTAAAAGACGCCTAATTTTATGCAACTAAAATAACTTCTTGAAACAAATAAAGATCTTGCTGTCATATGAAAATTGTTGTTTTAGCTTCACAGAAAATAAATCTAACTGTTATCGGCACTATACCAATTGGAAATATCAACTTTTTTTAGTTAAATACATCGCACACGAACCGAAATTAGAATAGGGAAGTCAAAGCGATATTCAAATTAATAATTAATGACAGCCAGATCTTTATTTGTTCCAAGAAGTTATTTTGGTTGCATAAAATTAGGCGTCTTTTACGAGATTTTTATCATGTAAAAGTAGACAGGAAATATCCCTATGTCTACTTCTACTATGTGATCAAAAATGAGTTGCTGTCGAGTTACCTTTGGAATTTTTGTTTACATGGGAAATCATCTTAGACCAATGGTCTAAGGAAATCATATTTAACTTGAAATTTCAAAGGCGACTCGACAGACACCAGCAACGCATTCTTGATCGCCCGTTACATGAATATCACTGTATAACGCACGCTTGTTGGGATCCAATTAGGTTTCTCAATATGGCCGACTTTGACAATTAATTGACATTTACGATAAAGTAAAACAAAATGGTTTGCTGTAAATCGTGTAATATAACAAAGTCAAAAGCTACAGAAGAAACGAAAATTACATTTCATTCATAGGCGGTAACCATGTAACAAGATTTTGAAATACATCTACTTTCCAAATTTTCTTCACACAGTGAATGGCGAGATAGATGGATTTCGTTTATAAGAAGTGAGGAATCTGTCTGTAATAAAATGTATGTAATTGATGTACTATCCGCCAAAAAATTAAATATATTAAATGTATGGCACTACGCGTATGAACGTCCGCCATATTGGGAAGCCTAATAGGATCCCAGCTAATAATATATGTGCCTTCGTTAGTCTTTTATTTCAATATTGGTTACGCTCAGCATCGTGCATACTATTTCCACAGATCTAACCAGATCTGTGCTATTTCTTGCTACACGTGATATCGCGTTATAATCGCCTAAGGGCAGTATTACATTCGTATGGTAGCCAATGTTAGTTTAATTCCTCTGTGTATATCATAACTTTGAACTCGTAGTTGCGAGGAAGATTATCCAAAATTTTTTTGCGTACACTGTTTCACAGATACACTCTTAGTGCCCTTCCGTGACCACATTGTCAAAATCTGTTGCGCTCGAACCACCACCTCGCACCAAAAAATGAACAGAATCGTCGTGCGATAAAACATTCTAGCAAAAACATAATGTTTGATGATACGACATCATGTTTTTTTCAAAAAGGTAAGCGAAAATGTTTAAAATTGTTGGAGCAAAGAAATGATTTCTGTAGCTGGAGAACGCCCTACATATATACATATAACGTGCCTGCTAGTGAGAGATATTTAAACCGACATCGTTATCAGACCTTCAGAAAATACGCGTACAAGGGTCAGCCGAATCTACCACTGTTACTACCCCCTTGCAGGTAGTAACAGCAGCAACACACGTTTCGTATTAATCAGCAAGTTCAGGAATTGCGTGGATATGAAAAATCTCTCGAACTGTGGAGTTGAAGGAGAGTCCACGATTTCCTTGACCCTGTTCGGACACTGAGGGCTCCCAGTCCACACTCAGTGCTCACATTGAACATGAAAGTTCTATTTTTTTTTGTAATGTTTTATTACTATTTGCAATCAGTATAAATAAAGTTATAATACTATAAGCAAATGCATTTGCTGGAACGGGGGTTTGAATTAAAATTTAAAGGAGATGATATCCAGTGATAATCAACTATTAAGAGAGAGTTTTACGGAGTTTTATGAGAAACCTTTAAACGTGTCTCATACCAAGCTTGAGTGCGACGCCTTCGCATATATAAGAAATACTGGCAGAATTTCCAATAAATTTAATGATTTGTAAAAAGCAGTAAAAAAATATCTGCGCGACTGTTTCGAGAACTCAGGATAGTTGATTCCCTATTCGATGTCGGATTATAGCTAAAGTATTGGACATACAAAAAAATGTTAATATGCTTTTTTATGGGCAATTTAATGAACTATATTTTTTATTTGAACTATTTTTCCGTATCAATAATTGTTGCCGATATATAGGCAAGAAACTGAAGACGTGCTCCTTTTTTCCAAGATGGCGCTTCGAGCGCAACAGATTTTGACGGGGACTTTTAGTATGTCCAATAGGGAACACTAATGAACATGTGTACCAAAATTCAGATCTTTACCGATTAATGTTTTTATTTTTTCTTATTTGACTGGACTATAAGTGAAAATTCAATGAAACATGTTACTATTGCGGTTTTAAAATCCGTTTCCAAGCTTCTATTTGGGTTTCTGCTTCAGCATAACACGATCGATTTTAGGGAACCACGAACTTATAAATTAAGATGGACTGCCAATGCTGAATTGACAAATGACACCTACATGGGGGCAGCCATGATGTGCACTCACTTGGCGCGAAATTCAAATCAACTAATAAACAAGCATTAACCTCACGTTTTCTAAATAAATTACTGTGACACATGTCATTTTTCAAGGCTGCAATAGTCTCAAAACTTGAGCACTAGGAAAATTCCCCTAGAAAATAACTAAAATGTGCACATCATGGCCGCGCCCATGCTAGGGCCATTTCTGCCACTATGCAACTGTTTGATCAGCAGTCCATCTAAATTTATAAGTTCGTGTAGGGAACCCATCATTACACCACCGCTTGAATTTGAACCTTTCCATATTTAGCGGTTGCTATAGAAGCTGCCCTATACTTACGAGTGGTGTTCACGTGGCTTTAGTTAACGATGAGATATCATGTACCCCCGACTACATTGCTCCCTATCTGTGACCACCCATATTGTATTGAAAGCACAAAACATAGAACATAGGCCTAATACCACTCCATTTACTGTATGGTCTGAGAGTCCCATAGAGTCAAAAAAATTGAAATGTGAGGAAAAGTGTATTCCGTTTGACTGCCTTTACTTTCGTTTTTAATATTCTACTTCGTGTTGTAGACAGTCAATTTCCGAGTTCCACATGAATTCAAGACTTTTGGCAATTGATTCCCTGTCCAAATTGATTAGTGGATTGTTCTACGTGTCCGAAGATGAAATCATCCACCCCACAGTATTCGTTATAGATGAATTGCGTCTTCTCTGGTACTAGTTTCAGTTATCAGACCACTCCTGGGCATTTCCTTACTAAAATGAAAAATAAATTAAGCCTTTTTTCAGCTATAATAAACCTTAACTCCTAGATAGCAAGAAAATGCCTTCCTATTGCGCCCCCCTTGAGCAATCCAGTTATTAGGGTATCGTCGATTAATAACGACCTATTCTTCGTTCACCCAACAGAAATAGTTAAGCCACTCCAGATTACCCAATTCGGCCAATTCGCTTTACAAGTGTGATTGTGGCTTCAAAAATTACACCAATAACAATGTCGTATTCAAATGTGGCGGTAATTGTTGAGGAGGGGCTTAACTATTTCTGTTGGGTGAACGAAGTATAGTAATCTTATTATGGCTTCTTTATTGCGCCTCTTTTGCTGAAAAAAACATTTTTTTTCCATCTAGGGTATGGCTCATTCATTTTTTGCAAAACTGAAATTGGATCTTCTCGAAACGTGTGGATTTTTGTCATTTGCTTATTGATATATCGATTTAAAAAAAAGTGCATTTGTCACAAAACCTGATCTTCTTGGAAAAATTAGGGAGTTCTCCAATCCTTTATTACATTAATTGAAACGTAGTCTTTGTAAAGTGTTGTATACTTATATTGTATAGGACAACTGCCACTTTCATACAGTAAACATTATGACCTTTCAAATGAGATGTCCCTCAATAGGTACACCCTATGACAATTTTTTAGAGGAGGACTATCCTAAATGTTATAAAATATGCGGACATGCTAATGGAATATCATGTACAACCAATAATAAAGCACAACCCCTGAGAAGAGAATATCATCTGAACCACAAAATGGCAACAGAAGGTTATTCGAATGATTAAAATTGCGTAATTGGCAAGAAGGAAGTTCTGGAATTAAAACCAGGAAGTTGCATATGAATCGTTTATTTAAAAACAAAATTACACGTTTGAAAATATAAAAAACCTAATCTAATTATATCAAACTTTTTAAAGCTTGGTGTAATTCGAATATTGAATTCCTATTCTTGGCCGTCAGCCTCACGATAATAATCATAAGTAAAGATATTTTATTGGTCGGAGGAAAACATCTTTCTACATGAACACAGTATAAAAAGGCACTAGGCGTCTTGGATATCACTTTTAAATCCACCCATATGATGAAAATTATGTTTCAAAAGTCTATTCGCTAATTCTTGCATAACATCACGAAATATTACAGAATCGACATTCTCACCTAACATGTAGAATAGAAACCAATCGCCCATTTTACTTCGTCTTACAATCAAATCTATAGCATCCTTTCTAATAAGCCTATAGCGTATCCTTAACAAGTACACCCTCATTCTCGGAGAAAATATAATAATTATTCTATAAATTATAGTGGCAAACGTTAAGCAAGCGAGTATTATAAACCAGAACCAAAGAAATACGTAAATTTTTTCGTTCACTACGTTTAACGGTAAAATGCAGATCGCATCGTGCTTTTCCACTTCGCCGGAAACACCGTATTTATAAAATGTACATTTTGTCATTCTCGGGAATATGAGTATCATCGGATCGACCCGATCCTCTTCATCGCTATCCATGAAGTTTAATACGTCTATTCCGAATGTGAGGAATGCTCCATCGAAGAACCGATTCATGAGAAACATTTGCCCTGTAACAAGAGAAAATGGGTTAAATACGCGTTTTAGCAATCACATTTACAAAATGTGTCTTTCACTTTGACAGATCAGAGTTAAATTTCTGTGACAAAATTTCACTAAACATGTAAAATGGTGCCGTTAACATCTTGTGTATAAATTCTCATATCACTTTTTTGGTAGTTTTTATGGTATATGTAAAATGGTAAATCCTTCGTTTCAAAGTACCATTTAGGTGAGGGGACTATCTTGAATGTTGATTATATATAATTCATAGACTACTCAACTGTTTATAAACATTAGTATTTTTGTTGTTGTTACGATAATGTTGAATTCTATACCTAGGTCTTTCTTCTCGTGCAACGTTCCTCAAAACCTTAAAGTGCAGAAAATGATTTGGGTCCTTTCTATTATAACATTTTGTAGCAGCGTTACCTCAACTCTTTATCGTGCATTTAAGATTATACGTTAGCCGTGGCGCTGACTTATTTATGACTTTCGTATTTATTAATGAAGCATTCGAGTAAAAAACAGTGGTTAATTTACGGTGTTATTCATTTAGAAGTAGTCATAGGGATTTTCTATTTGACAAAAATCTTCTGAAAGATGACTAATTTTATGCAACCAAAATAACATGCGCGCACATTTTGTACTGTCATTCTAGATTTTAATAATAATTAATTTATAGTATTTTACATTATTAGCCAGGTAAGTGAGTTTTTACTGGCGATAGGAGAAGTTGACTGGCGAGCCGTCAGGCGAACCTGTCATTTCCTAGAGCCAGTAAAAACTATTACCTGGCGTATAATGTACAATATTAAATTTGTTACTCATTTGTAAACAATAGTAAACGTAAATAATTAGTTCTTAAACTGATTTCGACGAAATGTCTAAAATATCATGTTATCCATGTAACAGAGGCTTCGCATTAATTCTGGCCAATGAAATGACTAGATTTGCTAACTTGTAAAATTTTTACAAGTCAGCTGTCAGTTTTACAAGTCAGTAGCGTTTAAACATGACGTTTACCCGTTTGCGTTTTGTCTTGTTAATCAACGTTTACAACTGAGTAACAAATAAAATAGGTTACGATGAAGTGATATTAAATTTGCCCGCTATTTCCCTTAAGTTTCTTATGGGATTCTCTTCCAAAAAAATTAAAACATTCAGTTTCATATCCTCTGTTAAAATTGAGGGTCTCTTATGTGGATCGCATTTAAACAACCGCTAATTTTAAAGCGACCAACACAGAAAACAATAAATAATTAACTCCCTAAATTCATCTGTTGAGACCATGTCCAAACTGCCCAAAAAAGAAAAAAAGAAATTTCCCAAAAAGTTCCTATTTTTAATTATCTTTACAACAGTGTATTTGGTTTGTCGTTAGCTAAAATATAAGGATTTTTCTCCGCGCATATAGGGCAAGAACACACACGTCACGAAACGATGAAACGCGAGACATGTATTGGTTTAGGTATGAAGTTCTTATATTTCACCATTTGAATTCTGTTTGTTAGATAAGAACGAAGCCATGACAATATTGGATCACATAAACCAACGAGAGAAAGTTTAGATAACAAGATATTATGGTTTACTCTACAAATGCCTTAGAGAAGTCAAAATATATGGAGTCTAATTGCGTATTTTCATCAAAACAACTAAGAATGTAATGCTGATAAGTTAAAAGGTTGGTGTTTGTGGAACGACTAGGGAAAAAACCATGTTGTTCGTCAATTATAGTGCTTATAAGTAATGGAAATAAAGTATTTGTTATAATATCTTCGAACAATTTTGGTATTACTGACATAATCAATATAGCCCTATAATTGGACATATCCGCTTTATTCTTGGTTTTGTAGGAATAACATAACTGAATTTCGGAATTTCCAAATGTCAAGGAAACTGAAACTAAACAGTACATAACGTGAACAATAGTTTAAATTACTCATAATCGTTTTCTCTAGTAATGGGACAGCTGGTAACATTATATGGACCTATTTATTGGTGAGTGCGGGGCCGCTTGTATAGCGTCCGCATCTACGAAGAACTCGGAATCAACTTATATAATCCAAAAACCTGTAACTTTGGAAGAATGATTTCCGTCTTACTTTCAAAAGTTAAATAGAGACGAATTCGATGAGTAATCACTAGTTTCTTACATTTTATAATCTCAGTATTGGTCTTCCGATACCTACAACCGGATGTAATAAAGACCGAAAGTATAAATGTGTCGTGGAATTCTCTCTTTTGCGACTCAGCTCGTCTTGGTAGGTATGCCCTTTAAAGTAGTTCTTATACACACGGAAACGTATTAAAAGTTAAAATTTCGAAATAGAATGTACAATTGGGATAAGTATCATGACTCAACTCTTCAAATCGCGAATTGAATTATACACCATGGCCCCAATATTTTATGTCCAACGAGTATAGTGCCAGATTTTAAAACATTGTGTTCCAAAAACGTGTATATTACACACCAGTGACCTAGTACGGAACGTCAAATATAGTGCTCCGAGAAAGTGAGATATTTACAATGTGCATGTGCTGGCAACTTATTTTTAAATTTTTTAATCACCAACTCTATACGTATTTAATGAGATTTATCCCACACATAAAATTGTACATCGTTTCTTTGGAATAAATAGGAAATAATTGACTCATGCAATCTGATTCATTGACATGAGCATTTCAGTCACTTGATGATACCGTTAAAATTAACTCTACTTAATTCATTCATAAATGACGTTTGGATTGGATGTTTAGTTCGTTCCGACGATTGATGGTACGAGTCTGCTTTAAATGAAAACCGGATTGGGCCTGTACAGCATCTAAATGTCATTGTTATAAAATACATTGAATAATGTGTAAAAGTACTTTTCTGGATAGGCTCAAGCCTTAGTTTATTAGATAAAACATTCCCAACGCCAAACTGGCAGCCCAGTTTGCAATGCCTTCCCTAGACCATTGTAACTGGGTTGTGGAAAATCACAGGAAAAAAGGGGAACTTGTTTTGCATGGCGCGAATGATTCGTTTGCTGACCGGGGGTGCTTCATCTTGAGTGATGTAACTTTCCTTTTTATTTTTAGTTTATTGCATTCGGAGTAATTACATGATTATGTTGCATTATACACTAAGTTAATGTCATTGTACAGGTGCATTAGTTAAATAAATACCAGGGAAGCTATCCCAGCTATATAACTACTGACTTTGGTTACCTATAAAAAAAGTTGTTACAGAATTATGGGACGTTTAGGTTCTCCGCTTTAACGACAATAGGATTTCCCACAGTTTACGGGATTGGCGTCATTGAAATTACGAGTATTTAATGCAATCACTTTTTAATGTGATTACAGGTTGAATATTGAGTTTTTGAAGTACCTATATCGTCGTCATTTGTAAAGTTAACAAAGTATCTGAGTTATACCGATATTTGCGCCAATCAACTTCTCGCAATACAATTTATAGTCGACCTTTATCTTTTTTGCAAATAAGAGCCATGAAGAGGATCATCATAACCAACAAAATTTAGAAACGGCAAAATTCAACAAAAAAAGGTCTGCATACCGTGAAGATCATAGAAGTGTTTAAAAAGTAAGTCACATTTTAGTCTGTGGGGACTGATAAAGATTAAATTTATTTTGGTAGGTGGTATTGGAGAAAATTAGGGCGTAATTTTGGATTTCAGGTTGTTTCAGGTGTTTTTAGCTTCCTAGCATGTGCTAGGTAGCTATTGAGATAGCCGTTTTTTGAACATTTCAAAATTTCATCAAATGTCGACGTTTTAGACCATTTTAAGCAACTTTTAAAGAATAAAATTTTTTTCCGTCTGTATGTACGTACGTACGTACGTTACGTACGTACGTTTGTTGGCAATTTTCTGAGAAAACGGCTCGACGGATTTTGTTGAAATTTTGTATATATGTTTTAGGCATACCGAACAGAAAAATAACGGGCCGGATTTTTGAAAAAAAATTTTGGAGCGCCGTAACGGCATCGAACTTTTTTTTTCAAATAGCAACCTAAAATTTTTATTCTATTATTTGGAAGACCTTATTTTCCTGTGTACAACCTACAAAAAATTGGGCCGGGTTATATTATCAAAAAACGGAGAAAAAAATTGTCAAAGTCAAAAAATTGTGTTGCATATGTGCAAAACGCAACGATCTTGTTTCTGAAGCAATTTAAACGAAATTTCTATGGTAAGTCCCTTTAATAAAAGCAAACAAAATTCATGCGCAAAAATCGTGTTGCGCATGCGCAGAAATGCAATTTTCTTATTTATGGAACAATTAAAACGAAATTTGGATGGTAGGTCCTCCTAATAAAAGAAAACAAAATGCATGCGCAAAAAATCGAGTTGCGCATGTGCAACATCCAACTTTCTTATTTATGGAGCAATTTTAACGAAAATTGGATGGTAGGTCCCTCTAATAAAAGCAAACAAAATGCATGCGCAAAAATCGTGTTGCGCATGCGCAGAAATGCAACTTTCTTATTTATGGTACAATTTTAACGAAATTTGGATGGTAGGTCCTCCTAATAAAAGAAAACAAAATGCATATCGCAAAAAATCGAGTTGCGCATGTGCAACATCCAACTTTCTTATTTATGGAGCAATTTTAACGAAAATTTGATGGTAGGTCCCTCTAATAAAAGCAAACAAAATGCATGCGCAAAAATCGTGTTGCGCATGCGCAGAAATGCAACTTTCTTATTTATGGTACAATTTTAACGAAATTTGGATGGTAGGTCCTCCTAATAAAAGAAAACAAAATGCATGCGCAAAAAATCGAGTTGCGCGTGTGCAACATCCAACTTTCTTATTTATGGAGCAATTTTAACGAAAATTGGATGGTAGGTCCCTCTAATAAAAGCAAACAAAATGCATGCGCAAAAATCCTGTTGCGCATGCGCAGAAATGCAACTTTCTTATTTATGGAACAATTTTAACGAAATTTAGATGGTAGGTCCTTTTAATAAAAGCTAACAAAATGCATGCGCAAAAAATAGTGTTGCGCATGTGCAACATCCAACTTTCTTATTTATGGAGCAATTTTAACGAAATTTGGATGGTAGGTCCCTCTAATAAAAGCAAACAAAATGCATGCGTAAAAATTGACGTTTTAGATCATTCTAAGCAACTTTTAAAGAATAAATTTTTCCCGTCTGTAAGTGCGTACATATGTTGGCAATTTTTGGTTTCAGCTAGGAAGCTATTCTGTCAAGAATTTGACACCTGGTTTTAAGTATTTTAGTTTGTCGCATGGGGGGGGGGGGCTCCAGGGATGGGGGCCCTTTATAGGTGCCCTTTTTAGCGCATTTTTAAGAATTAAACAAAATTTGCTCTTGTTTGCGTTTTGTCCGCCCGTCCGTTCGTCCGGACCCACTTCTACCGTTTTGAACTATTTCTAGGGGAATGGTCCTAGAGTCCTGGAATTTTGCAGTAGGTAGCCTATATCTTGAAGGTGTGTCAGATGGCCATCAAATTTCGCTGTATAAAAGGGGTCCCTCTTCCCCCACGAATTATTTCCTGAGATGCTGTTTTTGAAAGTAAAACGTGCATAGCTTTTACATACGACAACCAATTGGTCTCAGATTTTGCATACGCATGCCTTTAGTGGTGCCAAGTTAACCTTTAGAAAATGGAGGGAGAGGGGGGTTAACACATGTTCTACCCTTCATGGTATTCTAATGAAAGGTCTTATCGTCTGAGGGGGGGGGGGGGGGGAGGTTAAACATTAATTTTACCTCTCATTGTATTCTAATTAAAGGTCTCAACGAAAGGAACCGTTTTCCATCAACTACTGCCCTTTTTCTGCCCTCTTATCAAAGTAGGGGGGGGGGGGAGTGGAACTAGTTTTATCCTTCATGGTACTCTAATGAAAAGGTCTCAACGAAAGGAATTAATTTCTACCAACCATAGCCCTCCTCCTCGACCTCTTTTCGTGATCGGGTATATTCCCCTATACCTCGAGAACGGATTGTCGGAACAGAGTACTCACAAAGGGCGATTGAGACGTCTGCAAGAAATATGTCCATTGGTGATGTCAAAACAAAAGCGGTTTCGTTTAAAAAAAATGCGCTTTATCTGCACAAGGGTTGTTCAATTTTCGCTTGTATCTCAGTAATTGGCGCTCCTACCGAAACGTTCTTCAAATCAAACTTAAAGCTAGAAAAATTTACTACAAAAATGGTTCCTATGCTTTTTTTACATAAAACTGATACTTTCGGAGTTATGGGGCCGTGAAAGTGAGTAAGGACCTCCTTCCCTCGAGCTCGCCCCCACACACTCACAAAGACTCTTAATTTTCTTGAAACTTAGATACCAAGAAATAATTTTACCAATTTTCAAAAACTCCGGGATTTTTTTCCTTAGATTTTATCGGGCTATATACCAATGATTTTGGAATTGTTTGGACTCTACGATTTTGTTCATCTAGGTACTCATCGATTGCTCGAAACATCTTTCCCCTTCTCAAGTTATCATATTGTACAGTGCCGGACGGACAGACAGAACGTATGATTTCATACAGAAACTTCTCAGAATAAAGGCTTTCGCAAGTTAACTGTTCGACAGATTTACATTTCCCATTCAAAGATATTGCAGACGTCAACACCGAAATAAACTCACTCAAATAGAGGATTGATGATAGATATATACCGTCGTGTGGTTTTTTGTGGGAATTTATGGCCAGTTGCCCCGACAAAATTAAGTATCGCTTAAAGTTAAGCATAACTTAAATTCCATGGCAACGATTGTCTTAATAATTGTTACCATAGATTTTAAGTTCGACTTAACTTTAAGCAAGGCTTAATTTTGTTGGTGCAACTGGGTATTAGGCCTAAAACCGTAACCGTAGGTATAGACTATAGAGATATTGCATATCCAAAGAAATTATCGGAAATATCAACCATTTACTTACCAATAACATTAATAAAGGCTAGGAATTCACATAAATAGTATTTATACGCCCACCAGTTGTGGTATCTTAAATTTTCCCAAAGATAGTCCAACATTAACTTTTTCTTTTGCTTCTTTTCGATATCGGAGCAAATTCCAATATCTAAATCCATCATGAGAGCGTGAATTTTTCCTCCTTCCCAAGACTTCCATAACCACCTCGGCGTATAAAACAGGATTGCCTAAAAAAAATAAAAATACATACGATAAATATCAACGTCAACACCGCAGGAGTTTAGGTTGTGGAAATTATCGTAAACAGAAATAGAAAATCATAATGAATGAGGCTTCAAAACACATATTCATTATTTGATGTAAGATATTAGACACAGTTCAGGTTTTCGTAACATCCCAACTTCCGCGTTGGAACTATTTCAAGTTCATATCGGTAGTTAAAATTTACGATTGAGTTAAACACTTATAAGCTCTCAATGCCGTGGCAACTATCCTTGCCTAGGTAGCACTAGGTCTACCCAATGTTATTTATTTACAGGTCCGTTTTACGAGAGCTTTGCAAATTTCATAATTTCATATTAGGAACCAATTACGAGTGCAGTACAAACAGGCCAACATGTTTAACATGAAATGAAGATCGTACATGCTCAGCTTTAAAATTCGAAACAAGATTTTGGGAATACAAAATTTACGATTTGGTTGAGAACAGAGTTATGATCACTATCTACTTTATAAGCGTTCGCGTAATACAGTGAACCACTTGCGTAATTGGCGATAAGATGGCACGCTTTGTCTCACGAATATAATGTGGAATGGTTGAAATGGCTTTATCTTTAATAACCAATACCAGTGAAGAAAAACAAGTTATCTGTAATCTTGCAAGTTTCCCCAAGATAACGAGTATGTTCAGCTAAAGAGCAGTTTTCAATGTCAAAGTAATTTTCGAACATAGAAAATAGTTACAAAAAATTGAAATTTAAAATTAATACGTCTGTACAGCATTACCAATAAAGTTGGATCGTTCGGATTCTCCCATCCGTTCTCTGTTCACCCGTCTATTTGTGTGTGTCGTAACTGCGTAGATCGGAACTTCATTTTACAGTCGGCAGTTTAAGCTCTGGCACGTGATCCAACAAGAATCTTGGCTATGAATTTTGATCATAAAGAGTCAACATTTGTACACATTCAGCTCGCTATGCACATATTTCGTTAGGAAAACGTGCAAGCGCCGGGTGCTTGACTCTACGTTTCATCCAGAATTCAAAAATTGAAGGAAAAATTCCTTTGGAGAGAACTGCAAAAATTCGGTTTTTTTTGTCGTGATTAGATATTGGGTGCGTTCACCAGGCAATATTGGACTGCCTCTCCCAGCGTTAAGCCACGTGATCTCGCTGGCAGACATGACGTCTTTTAGACTATTTTTAGCGTAACACAACGAAGTTGAAGTAAAGCTTATGTGCTCGTGTTTCCGTCCGTCCGTCCGTCCGTTCCATCGAGATCTCGGCCCCTGGGCCACCTAGAGACTTCGGGTTTTCGCTAATTGATAGCTGTTATGGTCTATATTTGCCCAATTCGATCAGTTTCATTTAACTCCATATTTTGCGCAGACTGCGCAATGCCAACTTTCATATTTATGGGGATATATATTTCTTTGAAATTTTAACCACAGGCGCTTCTAGTAAAGGCAAACATTTCGCACATAGTAAAAATTATGTGGGCATACGCAGTGACTGCACAGGCTGCTCATAGCCAACTTTCTTATGTATGGTAATATTTCTTTGAAACTTTTATATCTTATAACTCCTCTCTTTCTCTGGACGTGGATGTGCTTCAATATGCAGATTCGACATTTTGTGTGCTTTTGGTGACGATGCGTCGTTTCAATACTTTGTGTTACGCGGCAATACCTACGAGTGGGTTTTGGAACATTTTTTATTTTTCCTGTAGGATGAAATGGGGAGCAGGCATTGCCAAACATGTATTTTCCCATGTTATTCTATGTCTCGCCGTCAACTTGCCATCGCTGTATATAATAATAACATTTCTTTGAAATCAAATTTTTAACATATTGTATTTCGTTATTAAGGGATGTATAAAATTAATTTCTAAAACTAGGTCCGATTTTGAACTTTATATGGCACAAAAATATAAAATCACCACATAATTTACATTTGAGACGAACGATGACACGTGATATTACGTCCCGTCATAGAAGCCGATTATTATACAATGTAACATAATATTGAGTGAAAAAACCGCCCATCATGTTTAGGACGAACTGTTGCATTATGTTTCGGACGCGCTAAGTTTGTTTTAGCGTCCGATTCGCGTACGATATAGAGCTTAGTGCAATAAAAAGAAATAGAACATGTTTCTTCTTGATTAGAAAGTAACGAATATCTTTGATATGTTTTTTAAAAATTGACGTACGTTTGCTAGGTATAAAGCTGCATTCACAACCTCCAATTAATGTTTATAATTAATGAGTGAAATTATTACGTCAACTTTACGTAAAGGAATCATTCGCAATGCATGAAATTAATATGTGAAATTAGTATCTAAGCAACACAACTAACAGAGGTTAATAGGGCAACTTTCACCATATCTTGTAGCACATTCACAAAAATCGAGCCTAATCCTAATAGGGCAAGGTACTTTTCTGTTCTCCCCATTCATTATAGACGTAACAAAATCAAAACAAGAAAGGCATGGTTATGTTGACTGTCATATAAAAGCACGCATTCGTACCTCTGTTAAGAGCGCGCTACCGGAGTGGTGGGGATCAGCGTAGAAAACATGCCTTTAAATTTTTGTACAATTTTTAAAAACCGTTTGTTGTATCAGCCCAATTTTTTTTTATATTAATCAGCAAGGACCAGCGCAGGAGGCAACGAATTTTCATCGATCTACATTCGCTATAAATAGGTTAATTACATTTTTGAAAATGAGCAATTTTAATTTTTTTAAAATCAAATCTCCATGAATTTTCGTTATTGCCTTCTTGGGGTCATTAAAAAGATAGCACTTAAGTTTCAAGTGATTTTATGGTCAATTAAACGACGAACGGAGCAGTTTCTTAAAGGGGGAATGTTAAAAATTTTCCAACTTTCGAAATTCAAATGCTGAAGAAACGCTACAACACGCAAAATCCATTAGCGCCATCTGTCGTTATCCGTCTGATTTTGTAATGGTAACAATCTAAATTAAATGCAATAAGCTTCCCCACCACTCTGGCAGTGCGCTCTTAATTTCAGTAAAATTAAGCGGCAAAGTTTGCAGTTTGCAAACTTCTGCGTTAAGTATTACCTAATTCTAACGATTAATTTTCAATATTGTGAATGTTGCCCTTTAAAATACATAGCTTAAATGTTATGCGTATTAATTTTAAGGTTGGAATGCTACTTTAATATATCTATGGTTGATGGTTGATAAGATTGAATCGCTTAGATGGTATAAGTAAAGTCACTAAATATAGAAAGTACCGCAATCCATTGGGCTCGTGTGTTAGAGAGAGAACGCATGATTTTTGCCCAAAAATGGCGGAAGTTACCAGATTCTAGTAACTTTAATGTTAGGGATTGTTCCACCTGTTTGGAGATATCTGTATATATTTTTATAAAACATGACAGTACTATGAAGTTAGGTTATGAAAAATGACAGCTATTCAGATTTTATTTGTCAATTTTTTTAAGTTGGCAGCAAATTTGCCCAAAAATGGCGGATGATTGCGGTACTTTCTATATCTAGTGACTTTAATACGTCCTATTGACGAAGAAGGTATAACCGTTGCGACAACCCAGGTTCAAATCCGAGCGCGTGTGCTTTTTTTTCTATACGTTCATTGAATTTGTGCGATTTTTTGCTTTAATTATTTGAATTAAGAGGAAGGATAATAGTTATAATGTCACAATGGAAAAGATACTACGGGAGACTTGTAGATAAGATAGGTACCTACACTACATTCAATTGAGAAAATTTGCCCCGAATTATTCTCTATCCCATTCAAAATACGCCGTTACGTGCGCGGTTAGCGGCAGTTTTACGCAGCAAATCTGATTAACGGCTACGCTAATAATCTGCTTTTTGGCCACCAGCTGTACGCTATTTACTCAACGGGAATTTCTTATGCTTACTTATGATTTGTCGCTGTTGTCCGCTCACCGCCGTCATCGTTAAAACAACTTTTCGGAATCGCATTCATCGCTTTTTGTTTAACACTTTTGTACCCCGTTTTACATTTCGGCACAATGCATGGATTCCTCATTTTTCTCAAAGCAGCGGTTTTTTTTGCGTATCCGTAGAGGTTCAAGGCGGCGGTAGTCCTTGTGTATACAATTACAAATTATTACAAGTCAGCCATGACAGTTGTTAAAGAACATCCCTCGACTCATGCTACGCCCATGACGACTGTATAGTACTACGCAATCGATGACGCGTAAGAACCTCACTTCTCATATAGGAAATAGGCTCGAGTTTCCAGATCTGTATATACACGACCGTGGGTTAAACGTCAAAAGTTTACTTTGTTTTAAATTTTAAGGTTATGTTTTAGTATTGGTACACCACGCACGTTGCGGCAAATGATTACTAACGTCATAATTTATTGAAGCGGCGGCGCAGCAACTCACTATTGATCGCACTGTATTAGTCCTACTTATGATGGTATGTACACTTTGACAGTGCAGATAGAGGCAGACATATATGTCAAATTTTAATAAAGCTTTCTACTTTCCGATGTTATTCACCTTTGACCCCATTATTTTGAACCAGATACAAAAAAGTGTATGAGACTTTTTTTACAGCTCATCAAGACACATCTTGTTTTTTTATTTAACATTTTTCCCTATGGCTTTATGGTATATCTCCGAAATCTGGAGGAAGGTAAAAGTTGGGTACCTACTTAAGCCGGGTCGTTCCAATGCCAAATATGACATGGCGAAGGATTACAGGCTCATCGGCCTATCATCGTTTCTTCTAAACACGGTGGAGAAGCTGGTGGATGCATACATAAGGAATGGCGTACTGGTCCTTAGACCCTAGACCTTAGACTACATCGATTTCAACATGCTAACAGGGCTGGTTCGTGTGCAGGCTGGGAAAGGGCATACCTGCCAGGGGGATAGCTCTGAGAGCGTTTCTACATATCGAGGGTGCGTTTAACAACACGACGTTTGATTCAGCCAATGAGGTGCTGAAGGTTTGGGATTGATGGGTCAATCGTAAAATG